AACCTATGGTCGTCCTCCAGATCACACGCGCGTCGCTTGGAAAAAAATTCTATGCGGCAGTGCCGCACAATGCTTCTCGTGCAACACCACGTGAGCTGGTGCCACGTGTCCCATCTCCTGCTATAACTCGAGTCTGTTTTCGAGCCGAGCCGACGCCGCAGGCTCTAGAGTTAGTTCTACCGCCGCGACGCCGCCCCAAAATCCTTTCCGCCGCCTCATCCCCGCGCCTAGCTGCAGCACTCCTGTGGTCCTGTCGTGCTATCTGCCATGGACAAACCATTAGAATCTCCACTCTCCGCTTCTCCGTTGACACTGCTAGCTTTCATTTTTCTTTTCCTATTAAGATAGCAAATGTCTAGTAAGTCACCGTCCGCAGTAATATTCAGTAAATTACTACTATAATTTTCAAAGAGCTTTAGTGACACATCAAATGAAAGAACACTAATTCCACATCCGATTCCAACAAGATAAATTGCAAAGAGAAGCCATGAATCAGCTTTGAATATCACAGGAATCAGCCTTCAGTATAGCTTCAGCAAACCTGACATTAGCTCCTTGCCGTTGTGGTCTGCTGCCCAGAAACACATCACCACGGTCAGGTCTGTCTCAACGCAGATGGCACCACTGATGCGAACAAGCTTCGAGGAGGGCAGCGGGGCCCCTCAAGGCTCACAGCGTGTCGTATGGCTGGGTGGTGGGTGGGGCGCTGTTCGGATGGGTGGAGGGCGGAGCCCTGTAGCCACCGCCGCCGCCGCCGCCACCGCCGTAGGAGTAGATTTGGAGTGGTGAAGAGGAGTGCTGCAGGCGTGGGAGGAGGCGGCGAAGAGGATTTTGGGAGCGACGGTAGAACTCGACTCCTGGGCATCGGCTCGGCTCAAAGAACAGAGTCAGTCCACAGCAAGAGACGGGACACGCGTCGCCAGTCCACGCGGTGTTTCACGAGAGGCCTTGTGTGTTGGATACTTTGATTAAGTTAGCACCTGTTCTACCGCTTTGTTAGGGTAGGTTTTATCTCCTGTCTTTTACTTGCATGTTTTCAGGGCTCGGTTATTAGAACGAGCGCGTCCATAAGCCCCGTGCGTATGTTCACGGCGTGGCAGTAATGTAGCGAGTCGCCCGCTGCACGATCCGATCGTGTGCGATGGCGCACGACGCACTGGGTCGTGTGGCGGGCAATGCGGATCACGTCGATCACGTTCTCTTGTATTTCGCAAATAAAAGGAGAAGTAAAGAAACAGAAAAGCTGCGCCGTATTATGCAGCACAATCTCTGTGTGCAACTGTGTCTTCCTCGCGTGCGTGTGTGTTGTGCTTTCCAGTGATCTCGCCGGCGGCTACCTCGCCGGGCTTCATTTGGTATCAGAGCCATGTCGGCTCCAACGCCACGTGTGTCGCGGTCCCGTGAACCGCACCAGCGACGTATCTCCCGTTCACCTCCACACCGTCGTGGTCGCCGGCGGCCTGGCGAAGACCGTGAACTTATTCCGGTCCAGCGTGTGGTGAAGGAGGTGGGCGGCTCAGCCAACTATCCACTGCTGACGAAGACTAACTACGGAGATTGGGCTCTCATGATGAAGGTCATGCTGCAAGCGCGCGGCCTGTGGGATGCCGTTGAGCATGGTGACGCCGATTTCCAGGCGGATCGAATGGCGATGGAGGCCATACTCCGGGCGGTGCCGCCGGAGATGTTAGCTTCACTCGCCGTCAAGCCCTCGGCCAAGGAGGCGTGGGACGCGATCAAGATGATGCGAGTTGGCGTCGATCGTGTCTGCAAGTCGAAGGCGCAAATGCTGCAGAAGCAGTATGATGCGATGGAGTTCAAGGACGGGGAGACCGTCGAGGAATTCTCGTTGCGCCTCAACGGACTCGTCACCAACCTCGCCACGCTTGGAGTCCATCTTGAAGAAGGAAAGGTGGTTGAAAAATTCCTTAACTCTGTTCCAGATCATCTCTCGCAGATCGCTTTGTCCATTGAGACGTTGCTTGACCTCGATGAGCTCACGCTCGAGGAGGTCACCGGCCGGCTCCGAAACGCTGAGGAGAAGCTGCCTGCCAAGAGCTCTGCTGCCGGTGGGAAACTGTTTCTCACTGAGGAGCAGTGGACTGCCCGGTGGAAGGAGAAACAGGCCGCGGAAAGTTCCTCTGGGAAGGCGAAGTCCGGCGGTGGCAACCGTCGTCGGCGTGGTGGCAAGAAGAAAGCTGAAGCTGCTGCGCACGATGGAGATCGTGCCGGGGGCGACACGCAGGAAGGGCGGGAACCAAACCGCGACAAGTGCCGCAATTGCGGCCGCACGGGGCACTGGGCTAAGGACTGCCGGAAGCCCAAGCGGCCTGCCGAGGCCCACCAGGCCCTGGCGGATGAGGACGATGACGAGTCGGCCCTCCTCATGGCCCATGTCGTCGACGCTGCTCCTGTGTCTGCGTCGTCTTCATCTGCGCCACCTGCTTCTTCGCCGCCATCGCAGCCTGACAAGACGATCGAGCTCGTCGAGCCAAAGGTGTTCGCGCACCTTCTCACGGAGAAACAAACCAACGGCGGCGTCTGGCATCTCGACACCGGAGCCACAAACCACATGACGGGCATTCGCGAAGTTTTCGCTGAGCTCGACCTGTCTATGCGGGGCTCGGTGCGATTCGGCGACGGCTCCGTCGTCGGAATTGAGGGTCGTGGCAAGATCATTTTTGAGTGCAGGAATCAGGAGCACCGAGCGTTGACGGGGGTGTATTACATCCCTAAACTCAACGCCAACTTGATAAGTTTGGGCCAGCTCGATGAAAATGGGTGCGACGTCCGTATCTACCACGGTGTTTGCACGATACGGGACCCAGCGGCCCAGCTGCTCGCACGCGTTCGGCGGACGCGGAATCGCCTGTACTTGATCAAGCTCACCATCGGGCAACCGGTGTGCCTCGCGGCCAAGGCGCAGGAGTGCGCCTGGCTGTGGCATGCGCGCTACGGCCACCTCCACTTCGACGCTCTGCGACGACTGGCGAGCCGCGACATGGTGCGCGGCATGCCCGACATCGATCATGTCAAGCAGCTGTGCGACAGCTGCGTCATATCTAAGCAGCGACGCACCCCGTTTCCACGCCGCTCCATGTTTCGTGCTGAGGATCGCCTTGAGCTGGTGCATGGCGATCTGTGTGGTCCCATCTCGCCGGCAACCCCTGGAGGCAAAACTCATTTCCTCCTGCTTGTTGATGATGCGAGCAGGTACATGTGGATCACTCTGCTGGGACGCAAGAGCGAGGCGGCTGATGCCATCAAGCGCTTTCAGGCGCGAGCCGAGGCGGAATCCAAGCAGAAATTGCGCATCCTCCGCACCGACAACGGTGGCGAGTTCACCTCGGTGGAATTCGCCACCTACTGCGCCGAACAGGGAGTCTCACGCCACTTCTCCGCGCCCTACTCGCCCCAACAGAATGGCGTGGTGGAGCGCCGCAACCAAACCATCCTTGGGATGGCTCGCAGCTTGTTGAAAGCCAAGAACATGCCGGCACGCTATTGGGGGGAGGCTGTCACGACAGCAGTTTTTCTGCTCAATCGCGCGCCGACAAAGAGCTTGGCCAACATGACACCTTATGAGGCGTGGCATGGGAAGAAGCCGGCGGTGGGTTACCTGCGCACGTTCGGGTGCCTGGCCTATGTCAAGGACGTGCGGCCTCACCTCCCCAAGCTCTCTGACCGCAGCAAGCCGATGGTTCTCATCGGATACGCCGACGGAGCCAAGGCGTACGAGGTGTTCGATCCGGTGTCTGGACGAGTGCAGGTCTCGCGCGACGTGATTTTCGACGAGGGCGCTGGGTGGGACTGGGATGCGGCGGGCGCTGCAGCCGTCCCCGGCGGCGGAGGTTGCTCAGACTTCACCGTCGAGTACCTGACAACGGCCACATCACTGTCGCCTTCGACCTCGGCTCCATCATCTGCATCTTCGGGCGCTTCCGCGTCAAGGGCAGTCACGCCGTCGTCCGCCTCGACACCCGCCACCTTGGCATCGGCCTCAACGCCCGCTACACCGACATTCGTCTCACCGCCACCAGGCATCGACGAGAACCTGGACGCGGAGCAGGATGATTGTCCACTGCGTTATCGCAGTATGGGTGATCTACTGGGCGACGCACGTACGCCTGGGTTCGCAACCCGGGATCCGGAGGAGGGGGGGGCTTCATTGTGCGGCACTGCCGCAGAGAATTTTCTTCCGCGTCGCTCTGCCGACTGCTGCCGCTCGCAAGCGCTGGTGTTGCTCACCAACTAGTTTGTACTCGCTACCTCGATCCGCTTCGCCGAATTCGTCCGCGCCTTGGGGTTGGGGACCGCATGACGCAGGTAGACGGACCTCGTGGGTAGGAACGCCTGCGTCGTCGCTGATACTTCTGCTGGTTGGACGGTTGATCATGCGGAACTGCATGCATGTAAATGAGTGAATCCAACACATATTCCATTCCCACATGCACAAACGGTTCCATCTCTTTTGCCATTCGACGGCTGTATGTATCATGTGGAGTTCAGTATATATGCATGTATGCATCACCTGATACTATGCACGCGTCGAAGAAAGCTGAGGCGGCAGCCTCGCGCGTGATTGGAGGGCCGCGCCGGCCGACGCATCGCATGACTAGTGCCCTCGGGCAATTGGACGAGATGCGAAGCCAGCCAGTGACGTGTGGAGCTCCCCGCTCGTGGACGAGGGCAACGACGACGTACCGCCGGCGCCGATAACTAGGTAGTCACGTTTTTTTTCTTTTCTCCCCTCATGTGCCTTCCTTCACAACAAACAGATGCTTGGACGCTGTCTGCGTACGGCTGTTCACAAGGACGTCCAGACCTGGACGCTATTTCCCTCAGCGTTCATCGTGTTGTTAAAAATTTATATCTGATTTACTATATATTTAATTCATAGGATATTAGTTATTATATATTAAAAAATTCGGCATATAAGCTGCACGAATATTTGCAAAAAACAGAGCCTAGAAAATTAATTTGTTGTAGGGTTAAATGAGTTCTACGGAAATTCGTAATTTTTTTTATTTCAAATCAATTCATTAATAAAAGAATACACAATCTCAAAATCCTATAAATTTGCTATTATCGACAAGAAGGTTTTCTATACACTATAACTGCCTTGATCTAAATATTGTTTGACAAGCAAATTATCCCCGTGTCCCTTCTGTCGTGCTGAATCTAGGAATTGACAGGCGATAAAATTCCTGACGAACTTAGATCGATGCTATCTAAACAAAAAATAATGGGACAAAAATTAGAGGAATTGGAATTTCCCTGTTGTGTCTCACGCTACCTTTGTGCATATCGATCAACTAGTGCCTTCGCTGCATCAGGTGCGAAAAATTTGGCCTGCACAGGAAAGTCAATATATCTGCATTAGTGAAAAGAGAATCCAAAGTTGTCACCAGGTGAGCCACATCATCAAACAAACATGAACAGCCAGATCTATGATTTGGATAAGGTACTCCATCATTTTCATATTATAAGTCGTTTTGATATTTTTCCTAGTCAACAAAGTTTATAGAAAAATATATCAACATTTTCCACGCAAAGCAAACATATTATCAAAATATATTAAATGTTACATTTGATAAAACTAATTTTGTGTTGTGGATTTGCTAATTCTTTCTATAAATTTTATTAAAACTAAAGAAGTTCGACTAGATAAAGTCAAAGCGACTTATAATGAAACGGAGGAAGTAGTGAAAAGAGAATCCAAAAATACCACCAGGATAAGCACATCATCAAACAAACATGAACCGTGGATGCGTGATTTGGATAAAAAGGAACATTGGATCATAGGAAAAAATGGCTATCAAAATAGGGATGTTTCTAACCCTTCAAGCCATCCCATGAGATGTGGTATCAGAGAAAGGAGAATGAAAAAAAAAATCCCTTACACATTGACCATATAATAATTATTTAATAGTAGTTCTATTATATCAATAATAATGAGTATTTTTAATAGCTAATTAACCTAATGCTATAGATCACATGGCCTCGGTTACTTCACTACACCTAAAGTACATCATGTGGCACAGGCATAGTAAAGTTTATAAAGTTGTTTTAATATAGGAATATAAGACTTACAGTAAATAGCATATAGATATTTCTCAAACAGATCATGATAGCCTTGCAACATGTAATGGATGTGGCTATATACATTATTATTACAAAACGTGTATGACACATTTAGAAATTGAGAAAGTTAGTGGTGGTGGTAATGTATGATAAATTATTTGTGTTATAATAGTATTATTAAATCATAAATCAAGATAAATTCGTTAACATTTTAGCTAAACTTCCTTACAAATGATGTTCTAAAAATGTATTTACATTGTTGACTTAAAATTTAAGCTAATTAATATAAACTATATACAAACACATTAAATAGACAGGAAGGTTATATATAGTCGTGTAAACACGCGACTTAATAGGCTAGTATGTCTGAAGATCCAAAACATTTGCTTCTATTGATTGCTCCCCTATTCATTTAGAGTATTTTTCTGTCCAAGACATTGTTTGGATAGGCTTAATTATCCCTTGGCCTATCCATGTGGATGTGCGGGGATTGAAGCACAGCCAAACAAGACCAAAATGGCATAAACATGTATGGCTGGTGGGATGGCAGCAGGAGAGTAACCAACCAAATTTGTAGATCCTTAATATCATAAGCACTGTAGTTTTATTTATTACTCAGAATTTACAGCTTCAGGTTTTTCTTAAAAAAATTGAGTAAATTTCAGAAAACTGCAACTTTAGTGACAAAACTATCAGTTTGCTGCAATAATAGCCTGGGAAATTATCACAAAACTGCGACTTTTACGTTATATGCTGTTACAGTACATATAGGTGACAAATGTAGCAACATATAACGTAAAAGTGCAGTTTTCTGATAATTTCCCACGCTATTGTTGCAACAAACTGAAATATGTCCCTAATGTTGCAGCAAGCTGATAGTTTTGTCACTAAAGTTGCAGTTTTATGAAATTTACTAAAAAATTATAAGGCTACAAATTTTAAAACCCTACAGGTCTGTAGTCCATTTGCACTTCTGTTAAAACTTAAAAGTTTAGCATGGGAGACATCACAGACAAAACAATACCTGAATAAACATTCTCTCTGCTTCACCTGATTTACCATTTTCCTTTAATATGATTCCCTGCAAGATGGATAAAAGAAAAAGGATGGAGATTACCAGTTATGTAAGAAATCCGAATTATGTTAATACACAATGTATGTTTTGGATAGTGGTTTTGCGTATTCGGGATCTTAAACAAGCGGTTTTAAATTACTAATACAATATATTTATGTATCATCATTTGTAGGTTGTTTATACAGTGATGTCATACTATTGTTACGTTAGTACTTTCTTGTTAGTGAGAGCGAACAAGGGATAAAAAAGAAAGATTTAAGTGAAAATTTTAACATATATATCCAATATGTATGTCACATGATCAAAGCTCAGCCAGCTTATATGCAGATTAAATAAAAACCACTTTGTAAACCAACTTAGAGGGCCATATAAATTTTAATCAAAGTCTAGGGGGTTATTTGGACTTTTTCCTATTGAAAAATTAGATATATTGGTTTAGCATGCCAAATATATTGAAATCATTAAGGTCAGTGATTAATGAATTGCCTTATCCAAAAAAAGGCTTCATTAAAGCTCATATATAAAGCACAAGATTGATCAGTACCTTAGCCAAATAACCACGGAAGTCTTCAGGATGTTCAGTGATTAGATTTTCATAAACAGCAACAGCATCACTGATATGGCCCCAATCAGAATAAGCCTTTCCTAAAAGCAGATCAACCTGCAATAACATATGAAAATAATTTAAGACTTAAATTCACAGCTAAATCTTCCTCTTAACCATCAGCTACTAAAATCATGTACAAAGAAACATTTAGGATCAAAGTCTATCTGTAAATAAATAATGTTATTTGACAATGCTTAATTGCTCTTAAATTATTGGCTCGCTTGCGTACATGACACTTTTGTTGGGAAAAAATGCCCTCATGCCAGGATGGCATACTCTCATTTGCCACATACTTGCTTATTTACCATGTTTGACCTTTTCAACTCACCCACCAATTGCCATGTTCTTCTTCCTCAACCTCTGTCACAGCCTGGCAAAGGCCGAAGATTTGTAGTCGTGATAGCCAGCCAGCCTAAACCTCAGACCTCCCGGTCAGCTAGACACGATGGTACGCAATCAGATGGTCCTCTAACGTGCACTGCCCACAGAAGAATTGCTCACAGCAGATAAGCCATGTCAGGGGCCAGGGGGTCTTCCTGTCGAATGTCGGGAAGTACCACTTGTGTTAGCACAACGCGCCCATCTGGTGGTCTACCCAGAGCCGAAGATAGTCGGGGGACTGGAGGAGGATGCCTTTGCTCACCGAGAAGGTATCGGCATTGCATGCTGATTTACTGGCCTACAAACGACTGATCGCAAGGTGATCAGGTGATGTTCTTTTTGCTGGTGATTGATGTCACCAAGCTTCGACTCCAGGACGTCCAACTTCTCCAGCTTCTTGAGGATGACCACCATTTGCTGGCCTAAACCTTTCCTCGCTTCCACCAGCGGCCGACATGTCTACAGACGCAGGAGTTTGCTCTGGTACCAAGTTGTCACGGCCTGGCAAAGACCAAATATTGTAGTTGTGATAGATTGCTGGCCTCAGCCCCAAACCTCTCAGCCACCAGCAAGGTACGATGGTAGGCAACAGAACACAAAAAAGAACGAAGTGCGCATTGGAAGGGTGCACGGGAGGGAGAGACTAGTTAAGAGGAACAAGGAAATAAATAAGCTATCCAAACTTGACATGAGAAGATAAACCTAAACTGATAAAATAGCTATCCAAATTCGCACCATTGGACTCCAAATGACGCCCTAGGCCATGCCTTCTGAGGACCTCAAGCTGCCCAAGGGCAAGGTGCTCGACGTGGTCAAGGACAAGGTCCACCGGCAGTTGTATGAGGCCTTCTCAAGCTCGTTCTGTGGCACCCCGTGTATCTCATCGCCAGCAAGCAGCAATGGAAGCTTCATTGACCTGCGATGCAGTGCCATGCCACCAGACCGGAGAAGCTCAAGGCATTCCACAACACACCGTACTAGATGTCTGGACATGTTCATAGACATGATCATGCAGCCGTAAGGCCTAGACCTGACGCTCATGGAAAGATGGATCGGAGGGCAAGATAAATTTGGAACTTCACGTCGTGTTGTGGTAAAACTTTGTGGCATTTCAGTAAAGCCAATCAATTATGCGGCAAATAAGATTATGGCATCCAACTTTGTGGCATAAGAGCATCTGTTGACAGTATGTGCGTTTAGCTAACTTATGCTTATTAGCATTTGGCTTTGGCCTAGGACATTAAGCAAGTCAAATTCATAACATGAGATGAAACCATTATAGCTCTTCATCCAGCTCTTGCCGCCACCACAGAGTTTATCACAAGTCATTTCAAGAACTTTCTCATTATTGCCTATGCGCCGAAGAAGCTCACCTCCATGCTCATGCATAGCTGCTCTGCATGACAACCCGGCACTATCCATGTTTGTTGCAATAAGGACTGTACCTACAAGGCTACAACAATAGCCTGCCCCTTCTTGTTACAACCTAGAGTCCTGCACTTTCTGCTTCGCTCAAAATCACATGGATCGAGTCCAACTAGGGCTGTCAAAAAAACTCGAGGCTCACAAGTTGCTCGAGAATAGAACGAGTCAAACCAGAGCCTACGTTCAAACGCATGAGCTTTCTAGAGCGAAGCTCATTGTCTTTCACCCCATTAATATTTAGGTTGTTGTACCCTTTCTATTCATGTTACTCCAATCATGTAAGAGTCATTCTAAATGAAAAGGGTGTGTTAGCGATCATACCACCAAACATTATAAGGATATCCTGTGTAGTTTTCAACAAGAGTACTGACACGAATATGATGGCATCTGCTCTTATATAGTTCATATGACCATTGTTTAGTGCTACACTAAAATAAATCTAAGATTGCTACTCATTGGTCATTAGTAGACTATATTACTAAGTTTATGAATAATGCTAAGCATGATCCTCTTGTAATATTGTTTGCATTAGACCTAGCACTGATATAATTTGTCATTTCTACATCTCAGACAATAAGTAGAATACCACATCCAAGTGGCTCTTTCAATACTTGTCCATTTGGATTGTCTGTCAAGATTACTAACATGTATTTTATAAAATATAACATGTACCAAAATATTGTAAAATATAGCAGTAAACTTACTTGGATAAGATCAATATATTGAGATTTTGGAGCACCATCATCATTTGCAGCCGCCAAATTCGCAACTTGAGTTTGACTTTTCTCATTCAACTTTTGACGGCAAGAGAGAATTACATCAACTGCCTATTGAAAATAAAAAAAGGTGTAAATGTATAAAGTATGGCATATGCTATTTTGAGTATGAAGTAACCAGCCAAGGGAAAACTCTCAGTGATCTCTACAGTCCCAAAAGCTAGTAAGAAATGTCAGATTTGAAAACACATTCATACCTACATCACAGAATGCATGTATTTAAGGTAGAAAAGCCACAGAACATGTATGTATTTATATCTTTTCCAAAATATCTCTTACCCAGTAGCAGATGTAAGTGGCTCAAGTCTGCTTATCTCCAGCCTGACAATGTGTTTAAAATGCTAGAAAATCGACCACACTTACAGGATATCCTCAGCTTTGAGGAACATGTGCTAGAGCTTCAGATCATGTATCCATGAACAGTACCAATGAATTGCACAGAGCTTCTCTATCCAAAATTTCTACGCTATAAGGAATTTCTTGTTTCCTTAGTGCAAGTCCAAATCTTAACCTAGACAACTTCATAATTAAACACCACGCTGTATGGATAACTCTTGTTATAATGGATAGATAGAATGAAAGAATGTGAACTACACAAGTTCACGATACCCTCTCAATAATAATTTATCAACTGACCTGATCTGGCTTCTTAGCAGCAAGTAGTGCATTGGTCAGACCACGTAAAACTTCAAAATCGATATTCTCTGACGCCTGCTTCATGAAGTGTTAGCATTAGAAAACCAGTATGATAAACTAGAATATATACAACATAGAAGTGCATTTCAATTTTCTTACAGATAAAGATTTTCTGTATGATGAAGAACTCCCATCATAATCCTTGAGTTCAAACTTTACTTCACCCAACAAACGGTATGCTTCAACTTTGTCAGGGATCACCTATATCAAAATAAATTGTGTTTCAACCATATAATAAGTGCATAAGCAAGACAAACTCTAAATGACAAATACAATGGGCACCAAGAATAGCATGCAGCTTACCTTAACAAGCTTCTCTAGGAATTCTGAAGCCTTCTGATATTCACCAAGTTCAACCAATGATACTGCCGCACCCTGTGATGCCATATGAAAATTACATTGGTATTTAAAAGCGCAGTAGTAGTCAAAGTCAAGCAATCAGTAATTAGTGTTGAAGTATTCAGTTACATTTTGTGATTCCCAAAAAGATTGATTGCTTTTGGCTTGGAATGGAAGTGGATGATGTATCATTGTTGGATTCATTTAAGAAGGTGATAATCAAGGTACCAGTTTAAGTGGTAAACTCAATGTGCACTTTTCCCTCTTTTTTGGTCTGTTCAAATCTTCTCACATTAAATCAAAGAATAATCTTGCTATATGCATGACTAGGTCTAGATTGTGAGCCACTTTTACCATATACATGACTTAGATTGTAATCATCTCTACATTTGTTCTACTTTGTGGAAACTAGATTAAATCATTCATGTGACTTCATTGATGAAAAAGAATGGTAATGCCTGACAATACTTTTAGAACTGGCCCAAACAAATCAATCTACAGCAACCAGATAATACAGCTAACATCTCCAAGTAGATAGGATCATATCTCAAAATATGCCTAGATAAGATATGCTACTAAAAGATAAGATATCATCGGCATCTAATGTTCTAATCAGGTGTTACAGTGCCTACTTACTGTTTGTGAACATGAACAGTAAACCCTGCATGTGACAACATAAAAGAATATTCTTATCGTGCAAGTTTACATCAGGTTGATATACAGGGCAATTTGGTTACATATGCCAGACTTTGCCATAGTTTTGTCAAAAAAAGTGTGTCGCATGCCATTTGTGGCAATATTTGGAAAGAAACTATCTCCATCTTGTGGCCTTATGAGGTATGGTTTTAAGAAAGTGTTCCATGCCACAAGTTCAGCAAAGAACTAAACATTAGATTAACAATGTCAAACATTTTTAACTCATGTAGACTAGCTTGTAGCACGAACAAAAGCCCCTAATCATGATAGAATGATACCCATTTATGAAATTTGTACATTATTACAAGCTCATTTCAACATCAGCCTATGCACCAGATAATGTAAACTACAGCATTATTATAATATCATATGTCAACAAAATGCAGATTGAGAAAAGAAATTTATTGGGGAAAAAACAGTATTAAGACAACCAGAAGTACGTTGGAAATAATAACTCACCTCAAGAGCAGTAGGATCATTAGGTGATGTCCGCAGTGTTGCTTCAAAACCTTCTAGTGCTGTCTAATCAAAAGAATTGGCAATCTCTTAATATAACAACAAACTGTCAAACAAGAATAAAAAATTATATGTCAAACATATGAAACTAATCTCCCACAGATATACTAGACAAGCTTGCCAATAGATGTACTTATATGCCCTAATTTCAGTACTGCACATTTTAATAAATTACTTGCGGCCAAAGCCACATATGTGCAGCATATTTCACAGTACTTAGTGGTCAAAACCAACAAAATTTTTGTGGCAAAAACACATTTACCTTGAAATTTTGTATTTCCTCCTCAGAAAGTTGTTTGCTAACCACAGTGCTTTCTTTGCTGGGGCTAACACTGTGAACAAGGACGTGTAAAGAGTTAACCAATAATCAAAACTAGCACAAGGAAATAATTATCTACATCGACAACAGAAGTTGAACACCTTCCATATGGAAGGAAATCCCCAAAAGCGAAGACTAATCCAAAGACCATGACAGCTATGCCAATTCCAACCTGCTGGGAAATTTTTTATTAGTATATGATAAGCTAGCTAACAAATTATGGAAATGCAAAACCATTTTATAATAAATACTGACCCTCGTACCAAAACCAATTGTACTCTTATCTGATTCAATTGGGGCATCATAATCAATAGCTTGATAATTTTTGTTCTCATCAGCTTTCTTTTTCTCAAGTGCAGATCTGTAAAGAAAATAATATAAATTAGAAGAAGCATCCAATGCAATATACCAAAATAACTTCGAGTGTACATACAGTAAACACGATCAAGATCTAACCACTATGCTGCAAATTATGAAATATGAACTACTATCGATTTTTTATTTGTGTCCAATTTAAATGTAGCCATATTTTATTTGGCATAATATCAACCGGTAAGAATTCCGAATGGATCTCGATTTCACAGGATGCCATCTTGATTTGCATATCTTGAGAACTTAATAAGATCATAAGTATCTTAAAGACATGTGAAATTTTCATGTTTTTCATCTAAGACAACTAAAATTCTCAATCAGTCTAGAGATCAAAAAGGACAAAAACTAATGCATGGCTAGATTTTTGTGTTTCTTCCGATTGAGAATTTATTTTACTTACATATGTATAGCATTTAAACAAAATACAGGAAAGCGGTATTGTCTACTACCCTATATCATTAACTCTGCTGATCTTTCACATTTATGAGAGAATTGCATGAACAACTTTTTATTATGAAAAAATTATCCAGCGAGCATCATATAATCTGGGATTATGGGTGGTCTTACACTCGTCTTGTTTCATGGCATTATTGCTGCCAGAAAATAGGCAATAGTTTCATGGCACTATGAAATGTTATTTTGAGAACGCAATGTGATTCAAAGCCATACTCTGGACAACAGCTTCAACCAGAATCCCAATGGTACAGGGTTATGTTATTTATATGGACCTCTTAGCAGAGCAGGGGATAGCCAGAAAGGTGTAGCAATACTACCCAGATTCTATATCTTGAAAGGTAAAAATGACAGTCATGCCATACAGCAGGTCATATAAAATGCATTGGTTAAATCATTACATTTTTGTTTATGTTTGTTAGTATATTGGTTAAAAAATGAGGTTCTGTTCAATTCGAAACATACTGGTTCTCGCTCATGGAGTCACATTTATTGATCAACTTGCTATAGTATGATGTTATTCGTCAGTACCTTCGAACAGCTTCCACTTTTTCTAGAAATTGCTTATCCATGACAGTTTTAGCATATTTACTTTCCCTTCGAGTCCCTAAGTCCAGTGCCCCTAAAGAACATGGAAGTCCAAGTGCGAGCAAAAGTATGTTAAGTAACAAAAAATCTCATATCCACCAAACATCAATGCCAAAGACAGAAAATTAGTTTCAGATCATACATGTACACCAAAGATCAATTACCCAGCTTATATTGAGAGCGCCAGAGATGCACAACTCAGAGGTTTTAAGATGGGTTTGCCAGCTAAATGGTGCAGTAAAAAAAACAAGAACAAGGATAACAACAATTTTATCAATTTATGATGATGAACCTCTGTCCTCTGTTGAGCTAAACCGCTTGCCAAAATACTAAACTATACAACACTTGACCTAAGAATAGAAAATATGACAATAGGCAAATTTAGATTTACATCCTGTCAAGTGAACAGTTTAGAACCTGTGAGCAGATAAGTATAAATAAAGTTTCTGTTTCTAGCATTTCGGTTTCGCCACTTCAAGTTTTTCACGATAACAGAAATGGACATCAATACTGAAAAATATTAACGTAAGGAAGGCAGCTTACACTAGAAATGGGACACCCTAGGACTTCTAAATACAGGAAAACATAAACACATCAGTAATCTTAGCATAACTTGAACCATGTGGTAAGCATTGTTATGTATAGAACAGTACATAAAACAGTAACCCAAGTCTAACTAAGTACAGGAAAACATAAACACATCAGTAATCTTAGCATAACTTGAACCATGTGGCACGCATTGTTATGTATAAAACAGTATTATCACTCATGGTAAAATTTAGTTCCAATTGTTATAAACTTATAATGCACGCTGCAAATGGTTAAACAGAAAAATACATGCAATCAACTAGAATTTAACTGAACTTACATTGGTCCCTGTTCTTGGAACCTCCAGATATTACCTTGCTGCACCACAAGAAATACTTTATGAATAAATTTGAGAAAAAATCAGCAATGTTTTCCTATGAAATACTACTATTTGTGTGCTGGTGCAACTCCTTATATAGCTAATGACAAGATAAGCCAATAACTCATAATTTCAACCTCAGTCACAGAATAAGCATGTTTTCACCAGATATTTATTACTAAAGAGACTACTATTTACAACATATCCATTTAGGAAAAGGAGGGAAAATTGAACATGAATAGCATCGTAATAAACCATACTTCATACAATGTTTTAACTTCCCTTCAATATCTATATTTGCTGAAACTATTACTAGAACAAGTTAAATAGCTCTCCATTTATGCACTTGATGTGGACTGTACTGTAATAAAATTCTAACTGTGCAATATTAATCCATAAATGAGTAACAAAAAACATAACTGTTAGTTCTTACTTCCAGGTATGAAGGAAAAAGAACTCCAATAGAGCAGCATGATTGAAGGTTCGTACCTTGGTTCCTGTGCAACATCCTTTTGCCTCTTCTTGCTTTTAATCTGAGGAGAAGAGTGAACCACTAGAGAATCAAACTTCTTACGATAGCATGCTTGAACAATGCATGCAATCTGGAAAACTAACCACTATAGAACCAAACTTCTTCAACCCTTGGAAAATTTGGACTCCAACGAAGATAATATTTTCAAATTAAGAAACTGTAATAGCGCCATAGGGCTACATCATAGCTTCAGTTTCTCTCTTGTTCAAAATTATGATAGTCAAAGATGGAATGTGCTGGAGTTCCATGTATCAAAGGAAAAGAAAGAAGATTGAGGGAACTTACTTTCCGTCTATTAGTAGAACCAGCTCCAAAGCCACGCCCATCAGAAGCAAAGCACTGAAAACTGAGTGCCTTATGGATTCCACGGTTGGACATGTTTAATACAAATCTTTCGGCATCAACGATATGTCCAAATTTCTGCAGGCATCCCTACAATATAGACATGTACGCAACTCAAAAGATGAACTTGCTTCCAAAGAGAGCACAAAATTTCAACCTATTTAGGTTTCATGATTATGAACCTAATTAAGTGGCATTTGCATCAACAAACTAAGTGTGAACTAGGAAAATGACCTCCATTTTGAACCAAACGACTAACAGATATGTCCAAAGGTATTTTTTTTGCCCAGTTTTGAAAGTGGGGTGAAAAATAACCGGTTTGTAGTTTAAGGGTGAAAAGTGGACTTTAACCTTGAAATTATATATGACTAGCTCCATTAGGCAAGAATATTAGCATTCAGCTCACAAAAATAAATCAAAGATAAGCAAGCCTATTACTCGTTTAGTTGTTTCCCATTGTGGTATTGTCATTACAGTTTCAATGGAGCCAAATAACCCAAAACAACCAGGGGGCAAGTATACTACTGATCCAAGCCCCCCAACCCCCAGCAAGGGACATCGAAAACCACCGCTCTAAATTGTTAAGGGCTTCTAGATAGGGCCAGGATCAGTTATCCATAACAGAAGACGGCGAGGCGACACACAAGAACGGTACACCGAGGTCCAAGAGCTACCCCCAAGTGCTATTCAACTAGTCTCGATGTGTGGTTTCGGCGGCGCCAGGGATGGCAGCGAACGCACGCTACGAGCCCAGCTCCGGGATCGCTCTTCCCGCCTCCATCCAATCCCGTTCCCACAACGCAGGAAGGGGATCGTGCGTTCCGCACTCAAATGATCCCCAGCGGAAACTTGGTTCCGCCGCGAACGTTTTTTCTTCCCCTAGCCTAAAGAGAACAAACCGTAACAATGAAAGAGGCAGCGGGGAGGAAGGCAGGAGGAATGGGAGGAGCGGGGGATTTTGAGTAGTACCGGTGCCGGGAGGCCGGCGGCGCCCATGGCCGCCTCCCAGCTCGAGGCGGCGGCCGGCGGCGGAGCGAGAGCTCAACTCGAGGAAGGCGAGGAAGGAGGGGTTCGTTGTTCGTTCGATTTGGATAACGAAGCGGTGGAGCCGCACGACACGAAGGCGGCTTTGGCAATTGGCAGGCGAGTTTACCGTTGCCCCCGTCCGAGCATGTGTTGATCTGCCGTCCATTCAGATCCAACGGTCTTAGGTTTCTCTGCCAATTTGTTCCTCTTATTTCCTTCTCGTCACATATAATGCTCTCTCTTTTTGTCGTAATGGAGGAATAACACACAAAAACATTTGGAGCATACTACAAATCAAGCGTCCCATCTCCTTAAAAGAAATGAGCTGAAACATTAAATAAATTATACACAGTAAAAAAAATATCGACAATCAAAATGTAAAAATATTGTGAAACACAATAGAAACACACGTTAAAAAATGTCATTATCATGTATGAAACGATAAGTTTTAACGGTTAAAATCATATGTATTTCTTTTATCATAATATAGTTACATTTTCATCTTGTTGTTTCACGATTGTGAGATGAAAGGTGTACTATATGGGCAGCATGGTGTTCATCCACTTTGTTAGCTACTTGGTATTTTAAATCCTACGTCGAGAAGGTCGAGCCATCTCTATATTATTTGGTATCAGAGAAATTTTTACGTGTCACTTATTCAGCCTACACAACCTTCAGCAAAATTACCATTACTTTTAATGTGCCGCTTGATCCGATAGAACGATAACTTTTCTAAATATGACCTTTGAATATCTTGAATTCCTCTGATTTGAAGTGAAACTCTTCATAGAATTAACGGTCGGTACTACATATGCTCATCAGAAAGTGCTCACCTTACGCAAACACGTTTGCCCCAAAGTAGCCTCCTAGATCCATCAAAATTTGATTGAGCCAACTCGATTGAGCCAACTAGATTAGGGCTTGGAGCCTAACACCACGAAGCCACCCAGGTATGGCCGCACAAGCCATGGACTGCTACTCGACGGCTTTCGGGAGTACCCCAGCCACCAACCATGCGAAAGGAGAGGTAAGGGGATAAGAGGAGGGTGAAGGTGGTGACCACCACCACCAAAGCGACTGGTGGCGCTATTGCTAGTGGCGACGAGCAGAGGACACACTCCGTAGGCTGAAGCCTGGGCAGGGTAGCTCACCTCGTTCACTCTAAGCTAGCGACACGGATAGACACAATCTCGCATGTTATAAATACATAGATATACATATGATACCATTACCTTCTCCCATCTTTCTTCCATAGCTGATCATAAAACATAATGGTTATTATGGAAAAAGAATGTGTGGGTAAAATTTTTATATATGTATTCATACGGACTTAAAAAACGAAATTCAAGTTTTAGCCGTGGCTGATAAATTGAAGAGCAAATGATAGAGCTGCTTAAGTCTTAGTGTTGTTGCAGGGCCATCGGCTTGAATGAAAAGATGAAAATTGCATCTAATTAGAGCAAGCTATAACCAACTACAATCTAATCCCACCCCCACAATACCTGGCACCCATCTCTCACATAGCTTGAAATATAAATCACTGAGATGCTGTCATACTCGGCGAGACACCACTGAAGGGCCAAAACTATCGCTAGATTTCAAATCCCTTGCTCACTGAACATCCCGGAAACCATGATCAAAATCTTACATATCAAATAACAGAAGTTTCAACGAATCAAGATCTGTATAAGGAAGCACTCCTCAAATCTTTAGTGACATCGCATCATAATACTGCCATTTCCACAAATTGGCGTCAACTAAGAATTCCCGCATCTGCCAAAGTTCAAATCACACTAAGATGCTGGAAGATGTGGGTATATGGAAAGAAGAATACGGGAGTAAGAACAACTGAACAAGAAACATCTGCTGTCATGTAATTAGTCACGACCTGATCGATAATATCAGGAAAACAAAAGAAAAAGGCATTCCACAGACTGAATCAATTGTCAAAAACTACAGTGAGAACTGTTCCTTTTAATTCCTTAGCAAAAGCACATGGGAGTGACCCAAAGGAAAATTAGAGATGCAGCTCCTGGTGCACTAAATTCATGATATAATCTAAACCACATGGCAAAATTTATCTTTTGGCATCCAGAATCCAAATGTGGTTTATCTTCTTGGAATAAGTATGATCAACTTCCAAGGGAATAGCAGTATAGCACCCTCCTTGTACAACTGAAAGGATGGTAATGGCCAACAGCTGCTTCCAAAAGCAACGGAATATATGGAAAGATGACATTTTAGAAACGATCATATAGTAGATTACATATAACCTGAATAGACATATGTACATAAACAAAAACCCAACTAGAACTTGGTATCAATATCTTTATTAAAGGGTCACTCTACGGAAATGAAAGAACACAATTTTCCATGAAGTATATTTCCATTCCACATATCTGGAAGAATATGTGACTACCAGTGCCTCTATAGTATCCAAAAATCTAACAAAATAATCAACTTGCCATCCATTTAACCTAAACTGCACAGTTTTATAAACTTACTATGAGTTGATGCAAACAGGTTTTGTTTTTTTAAAAAAGGTTTTATTACTATCTCAGAATCCATCGAAGCACTACATGTGAGTGCAATATATCCTGACACTTTGTTGGATACCGGAAATATAAGGCATAGCTCACCTTCACTCTGTGAAAAGAAGATAGGTAGTTACCAATACTACCAATTAGCCATCTAAAATGATCGAACCAGATACATTACTGAAAGCAACAAATTAATACTGAAAAAAGAGCAACAAATTCAGAATGAGGAAATTTTACTATGCTACATTTGGATAAAGTAAGGAATGTCTAGAAAAGAGATAAAAAAAATAAAGTGCATTAATTCCAGTGCAAGCATGCTTTTGAAATAATAGTCATTGCAAGGAACACAGCCTTCCATTAATCAGTTAACGCACTAGGTTTAATTCATAACATCCATAAAAAGATCATCAGTGTAATTAAATATAGGTCTGCTGGCATTTTCACTAATTCAATAATGTCACTCCTGAGTAATGCTTCATTTCACAGAACTAGTCATTGCCGCAAGCAAGTTTCAGATTGTACCATCAAACAAGAAAAGAAAATAATGCACAATTAACAATTACGTTTTAACATCAAAAGGATCAACTAAAGTTATGTTACTAGCATGCTTCCGAAACCTAGTATGGCTCTTCCTGTATACCTCAAAAATAACCTGTGGTCCTAAAGATAGCCTACTCTCCCAGCACAACTGCCTTTTTTGGCTAGCCAACCATGTTGGTTTGCAATCATTTGCACACAAAAATTTCATAACCTGTAGGACTCTTGCATTAGAAACAAGAAACCTGGCAAGCTGAAGTTCACGCCTTCGCCCTTCGTATCCTGCAAGCACCACTTTCTTGAGGTGACGGTTGAGGCATTCAATTGGATAATCCATGTTATCACACTTTAGTGTTTCCATACTCCGTGGCTCAAACATATGTGACTGCATATTGAACAATAAAATTCATCAATATTTGGAAGGAACAAAACATTCAGTAATCAGTGTCGATCACTCGGGCATCGAATTACCGTGATATAGAGCGCCTCCAAGCACGGGAAACACCGGAGAAAATCAACCACAGGCTTCACCTGCGGATCGACCATCTCTAGCGCCAGAGTCTTCAAGCATCGGAACTCCGCCGCCAATCTAACAGCCCGCATCGAGTGGAACAATGCCGCCCCAATCTGAAGCGATGGGATGCCGACGCCCAAGTAGCCGAGCATCTCCAGCCTCGGCGCGTGGAGGACATGGATCGACGGGCCCCAGTTGACGTCGTGCCCGAGTAGCCTCTCCAGGAGGGGCCCATCCTCGACGGCGAGGTCCTGCAGCTCGTCGCCGACCTCGTCCCGCCGCCGCAAGGAGACCGACACCGTCAGGCTGCGCAGGGTCCTGGAGCGCACGCGGAGGCTCCGGCAGCCGAAGACACGGTCGAGGGACAGGGCCGCTAGCGCGGGGCAGCCGGCGAGCAGGCCGTGGAGCGCCCGGGAGGAGGCGAAGCAGTAGCGGAGAGTGAGCTCGTGGAGGTGGGGGAACGAGGCGGTTGCTGCGGCGGCTGCCGGCAGGCGGCAATTGGTGAGGTCAGCGGAGCGGAGGGAGTGGCAGCCGAGGAGTGACGGCGGGAGGGGAAGGGGCTCGGATGGCGGCTGGAGGAGGAGCTCCTGGAGGCGTTTGCCGGCGAGGATTCGGAGCCAGGTGTCGAGGTCCGCTGAGGAGGGGCGACCCGAGGAGAGACGGAAGCTCACCGCGTCGCCACGGTGGGAGGCGAGGATGCCGGAGATGGCGGCGGAGAGATACTGGGAGCGGGAGGGGAGATCGGAGTCGTGGAGGCGGAGCGGCGCGGATGGCCAGAGGCTGCGCCAGCGACGGGAAAGAGCGGTGGTGCGCGCGGCGGCGTCGAGGGGGAGGAGGGAGAGGATGGTGGTGAGGAGGCAGTCCGGGAGGCGTCCGATCTGGTCAGGGTCCTCGCCGGTGGCGGCGGTGGCGGCGGCGGCGTAGGGCAATGGGGTTGTCATTTTTTCTTTACCGAGCTGTGCCTCTTCCTATATGCTATATCTATCTGGGAAAAAAAATTAGAAAAATACTGTTCATCGATGTAAAATATACCGGATGTAAAATGACTCGCACAAATATATTGTCAGTATCATAGCGTTCTCAGTATCATAGCGTAGCAGTGTGACATCTAGGTTCGTAGAACGGCGCTGCGAAACTGCGACGGTATCGCAAATCGGATGCATGAGGGCGTGACGTTAGCCCTCGGTCTCGCGGTTTCGCGCTCGGTCTCGCGGTTTTGCAGCGCGGTCTCGCTGTCTGGGAGCGTGAGAGTGCGCTCTCGCATATGTGTTGCACGAAAGCGGTAGGCCTGCACTAGGAGAGAGGGATTCGCCATGTGTGACTGGCCAGCGTGGCCCTACCATGGCCGGCACATTGCAGTCTCGTGGAGTCCAGAAATTCGCTAACCCGAATTTTAAGCAGAATGTGTATTAAATCTCTGTCCATGACCAGTCAGAGTATACAAACGACAATTCGATAGATGTTGACGGTCGTTAGCGATCAGTTTTGACCGTCGATACTACCGAAATAAAGGAGAACTAGTTATGCTTGCAATGCATATTTGTGATAGAATAATAATATTCCACTAGTATTAGGATTACTAACCTCTTGTATAGAATGAACACAAAATGGAAGAGAATCGACATAAAATCAGACGATCAATCAATTGCACGATGTCGGGAATCAGACTTATGCATGAATGGGCCAAGAACTCAGAATTGACACGACAAATTGGACCAAAATTCACAAGTCTGAAGTGAGCAACGGAAGAGGAGGCCGCCAGCCAAAAATATAATGGGCTGGATTGGGCCGTCCCCTGGTTTGGCCGAACCCTCCTCGACGCTGCTAGATCCAGGGTTGGCGATGGACGGTGTGGATTGCCTCCCTATGGTGGTTGGAGGGTATTACCGATATTTCCAACCGCCATAACCATCATTACCTGCCTATTTAAGGAGCTCACTCTCTCACTTTCTCCACACACTTGAAGCAAAGCTCTCTCATATTCTCTCAAGCTTAGTTTAGTATTCTCAAGCTAGTGGAGTAGGAATAGAATAGAAATCAGAATCCGGAAGTCTTCGGAAGATTTCGGGTATGGCTCTAGCAGCTCTCCTTTCTTCTTTTATAAGACTTGTACTTTATTTAGAATATTGTTCTTTATACAATTTTCATATTGTAATACTTTCCAAGTATTTGAATGCCAACTTTATTTTACATTCGAGTTATATTAATTATACTGCTAGCTTATCTAGGAGATCCATAGGTATGGGTATAATGTTTGCTTATGCAATTACTCTATGTCATGATGATGATATTAGAGTAGTATCTGGTAGTTTAGGCGTGATGTCTAGATTATTAAGTATCATTATTTGGGGTTATATGCTGCGGAAGAGAGGTGGACCGCTGATGGTGACATCTCAGTACTGGTATTCCTCCGCGCGTTTATATAGTCATAAATTAATTTCCTAGGGAGGGTACTCCTCCGTATTTAGCCCCGGTTATATGGTCATGATAGGCTGTCGTAAGGAACTCGGCAGTCAGGGATGGCTTCTCGAAGTACCTGGAGAGCATCGAAAAGAGGGTATTAGCTAGTTAATCATATAACTAGGATGTATGTATAATATGTATACTAGAAGTATAGGAATAGATTCTTTTCTATTTTCTTCCACTTAGCTTAGATCGTTTAATATGAGAATGAGAAGTCTTATGCATGTGTCATTCTACCGTATGGATTATATTAATCCTGCTTAGACTATGGTTATTAGTACGGTTCTCTCTACTATAATCTTCCCACGGGATTAAACAAATACGATACCATTGGAATATTCTCAGGTGAAATGCTACAATGGTATATCCGTGCGCTTGCGGATAAACTCTGTAACCATAATATACTAGGAGTATTTCTGCGCCATTGCTAGGAATTATATTTCTAGTAATGTCGTTATGAAATACCAACAATAGATAGATCCACGTCTTACAAAAATAAGACAATAAAACTCATACGCAGCGGAAAAAAAAAAACTAGACTTAATCTTCACGAGCAAAGCGAAGCTTCCTCCATAAACCAGAGGCAATCCTCGACGCCCGGAACAAGCTCAATCCTCAAAGAACTCACCATCTGAACTAATCTCTGCTTCGGTGGGGGAGGGGGGAATAAAGCAAGACTGAGTACCAACCAACATACTCAACAAGTCATACCGACAGAAAGGTATGATGCAAGCATATCTCAAAGGAATGGCGCATAGGATAGTTTGCAGTAAAAGCAGCATTTATAAATCATAATTTGAAATAGTAAAAGCAATATATAATTAAGCAGTATTAAATCATCACTGTCTAACACTAAATCCACGTTGCAACCGGCCCAACCCAAAACGACCTGAACTACACTAGTTCTATAAGTCAAATTATTAAAGTGAGACTAATCACGGTGAGGTAGTTGACCGCCCAATAACCGCGGGCACGGCTATTCAAATAGTTTTAACTCTGATCAGAGGTGTACAACTTTATCCATAAGACACGATTCTGCACATGTTACCATGCCCCGAAGTACCACCGAGATACTTCAAAGGGGGAAACCATGACAAAACTCGTCATATAATTCTCCCTAACCGAACATACCCACCTCAGGTTTCACCCCCTCCTTGTGCCAAGTTGGGCACTCCCCTCTCGTGCCTAGGTAAATCCAGATACAACAAAGACCAATATCCAGGTCCGAACTGCACCATCGCCTCTACCCTTGCCATAGTATGTCAGCTAGGTTAAGTTATACTCTAGATTCAGCCTGGAGCCCATCTGGCCTGTGGTGAGTACGAGTATATCTTCTACAGATTCTCGAGAATCGGTCCTTAATTGTCATAGGCACGACTTTCAAAATCATGCATGTACCCACGACCCACCATTAAAGCATATTTTAGTTTAATTAAACCATAACCATGGTGGTACATCATATGATTAAGGACTAAATTATAAAGAATCCCATTGTGAACTAGTTGATCTAAGCATTCATAAACCAATCATCTAGTCAAATATAACCCAAGTTATCAATGGCATAAGATATTCAACAGGCTAAGCATAATAAGCATCCATCCCACATGACATTCTAAAACAATGCAATTTAATAGAAAAAAGGGGATTTTGTAAAATAGGCTCAATATAATCAATGATGTATGTGACTTGCCTTCTCTTGAGTTGACTGAACCTCGGCAACCACTTCGAAATAAACTGGATCGCACCGGAACTGACGGAATCTAATCGACAAACAAAGTACACAAGAAATACAAGCAATAAGGCTACTGAAACAGCAAAAGAAACCAATTTTAATTGATTCTATACATTTTACGGATTCACTGCAATTTGAATGGGTTAAAATGGAGCTCGGATTATTTAGTTATGAATTTTACAAGATGAGCTGCGTTATTACTAATAACCGAAAAACCTTAGTCAATTATTACATATTATTGCCCATAGATAAATAGATCAATGGAAATAAACCTCCGGAAAGCAAGCCTCACGAGTTAACGACTCAATGAGTCAATTCTTCATGACACAGAACCATCCAAACGGTCAACCGAACTGGCGAACGAAACCGGCGGCTCAGAATGACTGTGGGAAACTAGACACGGTTTACGGCAAACGATAGGCCAATAGGAACCGAGGGATGCACCTATGGCTTTGAAACTCGGCTACCGAGCTACGACACAGCGGCAAAACAGAACGACGATACGGGAGAATGACAGCGGCAGCGGCTTAAGCGACGCGGCGGCGGCAGCGGCACTGGGCACGGCGGTGGTGGCTAGGACACTAGCGGCAGCGGTGGCGGCGCTAGGTGGCTAGGGCGGCTAGGGTTTTACCGAGCTAAACAACTAGGGTTTCAACGACGACACTAAAAAGAAACAACACCTAAAACAGGGGATTACGGATAGGTTCCTCACCAAACCGAGACGATCGGCGAGGAGGAAACGGCGACAACGGTCTGACGGCAACACGCGGAGATGACGACGACGTTAGATCAAAACCTAGGATGGAAAAAAAATTAGAATCGGATAGGTAATGGTGATAGCCATGATACGGGGAGGGGAAACGGATTACCGGCGACGCAAGGGCGACGACGGCAGCAATAGGGGGAGGCGGCCGGTGGCGCGGGTTAGGGCGGCTAGGGCTAGAGCTCCAATAAAATAGGAAAAAACAGGTGGTATGATGGCTTATATAGGGGTGGAACAAAAGAGGTGGGGCCGGAGGGGAGGGAGTCGGCAAAGGGAGAAAGGGGGAGGGCGGCGTGCAGTAAGGGGGGGGGGAGAGGGAGGGAAAATAGGGATTGGGAGATTTTCGAAAAAGAAAAATAAATGCGGTGCTGTTTTAGGAAAAGAACGGAAACGGACCCGCGAACAAGAACGGACACGGCTCGTCATGCAAAACGAAATCGCGGACAGAAAGGGGAGTGAATCGAGCACGATTCACGACCAAAGGCAGGAGAGAAAAAAATTATTACTTCAAATCTTGACCAATTAAATTAACAACATTAACTCCGATGCTCTGAATATTCCGCTTTAAGTCATGTTAACGGTTTTAGAGTAAAGAGAATTCAAAAAAAAAAATTCTCTCTGACAATTCCGATTATTAAATACATTGTTAATTAAGGTTTTCTCCTGGTTAACCAAAGTATTTTCTATAGATGATTTATCAGTGAATTAGAACTATGGGAATGGGAAAAACTCCGGGCGTGATAGTCACTGCACGCGACCGGCTAGCGTGTCCTGGCATGGCCTGCGCACCGCGGTCTCGTGGAGTAGCCGCGCGAGACCGGCCAGCGTGGGCCCACTATTCATGCGTGCTACGGTCTCGTGGATTCGCTGCGTGAGACCGGCCAGCCGCATACTACTGATCTTTTTCATCTCGCTGTATCCGGGTGTCATATATGAAACCGTGTTGTCTCACTGCTTGCCAGGAGCTTGTGTGCCAAAAAGAATGGTCCAGTTCGTGGTTCCATCAGCCACCTACACCCTAATTTACGAGGTTGTTAACAGAGTCTTGCTGTTTCAACTAAAGTAGCGGTATGATTTGCGGGCCCCTATGTTTCCAAAAC